GGTGGTGGTGGTGGTGGTGGTCATGTGGTGATGTGGTGGTGGTGGTGAAGTGTTGGTGATGGCGAAGTGTTGGTGATGGCGGTGGTGGTGGTGGTGGTGGTAGTGGTGGATATTTATCTTGCATATTTATCTCTTCTCTTGTCGCTCATGTGCAATCTCTTCTATTTTGTGCAAAGATCAATCGGGGCGGCGTCGAACCACCTCGAGGGTCGCCAGATCGCACTGCCGGGCCATCCCAACCCGGACCGTCGCCGTGAGCTTCAAATGGCATCCGTTGTGATATAATGCACTTGTGAACTTTGTGAACTATGCTTGTGTGTTTGGACTTTGGACTTGGGAGTCGAGATTGTGATACTTGTATGCTATGTTTGTGTTTGTGGTGGATTGTGATATACATTTGTATTATATATATATTTGTGTGATATATAGTTGTGTTATATATATATAATGTATATCTTGTTTGCAACGATGGAAGACTAAAAACCAAAAAAAATGAATTTTTTCACTTCTTTGCCGAGTGTCATGACCATGACACTCGGCAAAGCTGGGAATCTGGGACACTAAGCTTTCCAGCTTTGCCGAGTGCCATGCTCAAGGCACTCGGCAAAGAAAATTAAAAAAAATAAAAAACTGCTTTGCCGAGTGCCTACCTACAGCTCTCGGCAAAGAAAATCCAAAAAAAAGAAAACAAGCTTTGTCGAGTGCCAGATGCAGGCACTCGACAAAGCATTTTTTTTTAAAAACAATAAAAAACATATTTCTTTGCTGAGTGCCGACGCGTGGCACTCGACAAAGGGGCCGTCACCATGACCTGGCCGTCACGGCGGCTTTTCTTTGCCGAGTGCCATCGTGGCACTCGGGAAATCCTTTGTCGAGTGCCCGACATGCGGCACTCGGCAAAGAAGCCTTTGCCGTGAAGGGATATGCCGACAGCTCTTTGCCGAGTGCAGCACTCGGCAAAGGTTTTGCCGAGTGCAAAGCACGCGTCTGCTGTAGTGACACTACTAGAAATGCCTGCCACTCGCGGTATCAATGAAAACTGATAGTGATAAGTTACCGCTACTGTTGTAACGGATGGCAGTAAGCACATTAACGGACCCAAAACTTATTCCAACAGTACATGGTTAAATTTGATGGGCTCTTCGGATATTTTTCCTCTCTCTCCCTCAGCCTCCATCTCCCACGCCGCTCCCTCTCTTCCCTCTCCTACGACATCCTCATTACCTTTCCCCTCTAGTGATTTCGCTTCCTCTCTCTTTACTCTCCCCCTCGCCCGCCCCTCCCTCCCCTTACATCATGGGGTTGCAGTGCTCCTCGCTCCCCAGGATATGCCCCTTCCCATCCTCATCGCATGGTGTGCTCCGACGATTCCTCCATTCCCCCAACGACGCTCCTCCCTCTCGATGTTGATGTTGCTCCCCCTTTCTTCCCTTTCCCTAGCCAGACGAGCGACAGATTTGCAGTGGCGGCAACCATGGCAGGATGTGCCCTCGAGATGGGGCTATGGGCGACGGTGCTGCGCCATTTTATTTGGATTTGGCGTATCCCAATCTATCTCTAGACTTTTTTTAGATTTTTTTTAAAGCGTATAGACATTTTTCTTGGATTAAATAAAAATCTTACCAAATATTTACCAATTTTTTTAACTAAAAAAGGACAAACCCATCTTTAAAATCACTCTAAATCAGAGTAAGAAGGTAATTTGAATGGTTTAGAGGTCCTGATTCAAGCTAGCCACACGAGTTTTTCAAATGGGTTTACGAATATTTAATGAAAGTAAATGAATTCCTCGTAGATCAAATGAAATGTACAATCGAATAGAGTGACGTTCCATAGGTGTTCGATCAGAAATCCTGCTGTCCCATCACGTCCCACCGTGCTTGCTGCTTTCGCTTTTCAAATGGAGCGCACCCACGTTTCGTGCCACCATGCACGGGGCCCACGTAAGTACTCTCCAGAAGCTGAGTCCAGCCACCAGCCTCCTCACGGGCCAACGACTTATTCTCCGTCCCATCGAGTCCATCTGGCCTAATTCGCTGCCACTTGGCACGGTCCAAATCCTTCAGGCCCAAAACACTCACCGCTTCCTTCACACCTTGATCCCTGACGGATTGACGGCCCAATCTGCCGGTCATCTCACCCCTCACTCACATAGTGCTCGGTTGGGCTAATGCAAAAAAAAAAAAAAAAAACTTCATGCAATGTCTTGTTGTATTAGCAAAACACTGAACTTATGGTAATAACTTTGACAAGACATAATTAGCTAAATACTTCAAATTTGATAGAAATAACTTTGGACTTAATGCGGCACATAGCGTTAGTACGTGAGATATGACTTTATTATGCTTGTTATGCAGGAGTGATTTTTTTTTGGATTATATACATGGTCATATACAATTGCGTGGGACTTAAACTATGAAAAAATGTTGTTGTTTGGTTGTTTCCATGTGCATTTCTGAAATGAAGCTGTGTCGTTAGCACGGGCACTATACTAGTGGATGAAAACGCTACGGAAATATCCCGTACTGAACCGCATCGTTTTCTATATTTGACCTGATCAAATTCGTATTTCCGGAGAAATTATAATTCGGTTTGAAATACGGAATATCAAATTCGAAATGGGAACAGAAAAATTAAGACGTTTTCCGACCGTTTTCTACTAGAAGTCCAACCTTAGAAAACTTGTATCTTTTTCATACGATTTCGGATGAAGATGATTTTTATATGAAATTGTAGCTCTCGACGAGATCTATAACTTTCTAGTTTTGAGTTTTCTCATTTGAGGTCGTTAAGATGTTCGAAAAATTAAGCAAGGTTTCAGCAATATATTAATCGCGTACCGGCGTTTGCTGCCTTAGAAAAATTATACTTTCTTATATGGTGTCAAATGAAGATATTTTTTATGAAAGTTGTAGGAATTGTTAATTGTTATGCACTTGCATGAATTTGTTAATTATTATGCACTTGGTACTATGGGATCAACATTCCGTATTGATTTTCTGTATACCGACCATGTTCGACATAATTCCACTAGAATTAGTTCGTTTTCGAAATTCTCGATATTTCGTAAGTTCGTGTTCGTTTTCGTGTCCGGCACCGCTTTCAATTTCATTTTCATATTCAAATGTAGAAGTAAAAAATGATTGAGGGATTTTTCTCACATGGAGATTTTAATTTTTTATATATTTATATATTCATTTTTTCAAAAATATTTGTTCAAATAAAAAATTGGAAAAATAAATTACTACCGCCGATAGTACCAGCGGGGAGTACTTACCAGCAGTTGAATTGGTTGATTTTTTCGCTATCAACACATTAAAGAAATCAAAACTTTTATATATGAATTCCAAAGATAAAATTTACATGAAAGTTACATAGAAAAAGAGATCTACACATTGTAGTTTATGACTTTTTTATTTTGAAGTCGTTTTCATACGTAAATTGATAATAATGTTCTAGTATCTATTGTAGACCTGAATATTAAACTGATTATTTAGATATTAAGATGGATTTAAGCGAAATATTCTAAACTATAAAAAATTATATCTGTTAGGTATCTAAATTTTTTGTATAAACGTTCAGGTCATATGAAACATTTATGATTGTTTCTAAAATATATGGCACTAGTTAGTGGATAAATTGAGGCAATTTATTCACAGCCTTACGTAGCCATCTTCAAAAAGTTATAACCATTTCATCTAGTCACATATAAAATAAGATTTATAGAATAATTATATTTGACAATGGAATCTACAACCATATACCCAATAATCAATATAATCTTTGAAGCCATCTGAACACTGTATCTATTTTTTAGATATCAAAATGACCTCAAATTAAAATATCATAGACTACGAAGTTATATATATTTTTTGCTTTACGACTTTCGTATACATTTTATTTTTATTCGAGTATCTATAAAAGTTATAATGTTTTTAAAGATGAACTGACAGAGAAAAGAAAATTCTACCAATTCAACCGGTGGTAAGTATTTCCCGCTGGTTTAATCGGTGGCAGTAGTATAATTTTGTAATTGTTTTAAAAAACGAATTTAAAAAATATAAAAAATATAAGAAATCTCACGGATACGGTGTTCTAGCCCACTAAAGGATATGGCCCAACATCTTGTAACCCTAATATAACACGTTAAAGGCCCAAAAGCACCCAGCACAACCCACCAGGCAGCCGCCCACTTCCAGTTCCACTTCGACATCACTTCGGCCCTCGCCTTCACATCCTTCACCGTCCGGCCGGCCGCCGTCCACCCCCTCTGCCCTCCGGCTCGGCCTCTCCGGTTTGGAGTTCCCATTCCCCCACCGGCCACCGCCACCATCGTGCCGTCGCCGTCACTGTCGCATCTCCGGCCGCACCTACGCCGTTGAAGTCGCTGCAGCCTGCAGGTGCGGACACCACGTCACCCCTCACAAGATTATCTTGTCATTGGCAATCCGTACTTTATTCGTGTGTTTCCACTTTTTTTTGTCCGATTCTATTCGATAACGCTTCTGGGCCATAAGGTTGGTGCCGCTAGGCACTATCAGCCGAGCAGCTGGCTGGCTAGACCTCTCACATCAACACTGTTCGCACGAACTAGCCGTACTTTTTTCTATCTCGGACTCTTCTCGCTAAATCAGGATAAGATCGCACTGTTGTTTCTGTGCCTGGCTAGATCGTCGGTAAAGGGCACCCATCCTAGTTGCCATTTATAGGTTCTGCCATTACCTGCGGCGGAGAGCCAAGAAATGCGTCAGGGGCCTTCACATGAACACTGTTTACGCGAACCAAACACGCTACTTCTTTCTCGCATAAACAAACCAGCGATACAGACCATCTTCTTCTTAGACTCTTCTCGCTAAACCAGGGATAAGATCGCATTGTTGTTTCTGTGCCTGGCTAGATCGTCGGTAAAGGGCACCCATCCAAGTTGCCATTTATAGGTTCTGCCATTACCTGCGGCGGAGAGCCAAGAAATGCGTTAGGGGTTGAGGGAAGGAGTGCCGATGGCCGATGGCCAGCCGGCGCCGCCACGGCCGGTGGTGGTGGTGGAGATGAAAGGTCACCCGGGGTCCGGCAAGTCCACGGCGGCGCGCGCCATCGCGGCCGCGCTTCGCTGCCCGCTCCTGGACAAGGACGATGTCAGGGACTGCACGCTGCCCCTAGAGGGCATGGCGGCTGCCGGGATGCTCAACGACCTCTCCTACGCCGTGCTGTGGCGGATGGCCGAGCGCCAGGTACGGCTCGGTCTGTCTGTTGTCATCGACTCCACACTGTCACGCCGCGCTCACCTCGACGCGCTGACACGCCTGGCCGGTGCGCTTGTCGTCGTCGTGGAGTGCCGCCCTGGTGATAACGAGGAGTGGCGCCGGAGGCTGGAGAAGCGTGGGGTGGCTGTGCCCAATGGTGGTGGTGATGGATGGCATAAGCCGAAGACGTGGGCAGAGCTGGAGAGGCTTCTTGAAGGGTACCAAGGTTGCACAGACTATGAAATTGAGGATGTGCCGAGGATTGTGGTCGATACAACTGATCCGGCGGTTGATGCGCAGGCAATAGCTGCAAAGGTTGTGGGTTTTGTTAGCTCCCATCTTGCTTGTAGCCAATCATCTTGTGAGACACAGGATTCACCTGTTTGCTATTGGAAACCAAAATGTACATTAAGCATTTCATTGTGCCCGTCGTCTACGAGGCTCGTATGGCTTCGGTGATCTCCAGAAGGACGTTTAAGGTATATAGGTTGTAGCTTTTAGGGGTGTGTATGTGTGTGGTGATGTGAGTATGTTGTGTATAGTACAGATACTACAACTTGTACACTAGGAGTCCAGCTAAAAAAAAAAGTAGAGTTTCATTGCAAAAGGTCAATCTGTTGTACTGTGATGCTCAAAGTTCTTTTTGTTTATGTGTGTAACCTAGAGGTTCTGTTATTATTGGGACTCCTTCTCCTCCTTTGTGATCTAGAGGTTTCGTAAAAAGATGTGCCTTTGTCTGGGGTTGTTCCTGTAACATTCAGTACAAGTGTATGACTTTTCAGTACATGTGTCACATTCCAACGAAATGGAATATAACTTTTCAGCATCCATGTTTAGGAGGAAAAGGGGTTCAAGAAAGTGTGCTACCAAGATAAGTATGCAATTCTGTTTTTTCTGTAGCGATAGATGCTTTATGCCTCCATTTGGTTCATTTTCACATGATTTCTTTACCAGATTCTGTATGGAAATACTGGTTTTTTTGCTGTCCTTGAGATCTTTGTTCCATTTTATATACTACCTTCTCCTTTTCATGATCTTTGTTTTGGAAATTGTGACATCAAATCCCAGTTAATCTAAACTTTGTATGCTTGCATGGTTTTGTAACTAGTCATATGTTCTACTTAATAGTTATTGCATTTCAGTGTCTGCTTTACAAACCAAATGGATGGCTAGATGCCTGCCTATTTGTTCTGCCTGATTTCATCGCAGATCAGTTGTTATGATTACTGGGTTTCCTATTTTTCAGCTTTTGTTTTCCGTTTCATGTTTGTAGTGTTGTTGTGTTTTATGGTCTGATGAGTTTTGTTCATTTATTTTTAGAGCAGCACTCTGAGTTGCCATGTTGGTGTCAAGATTTATAGAACAGACATTTCTAGAAGTGTACGCTTGAGATGTGATGCTTTTTAAGTCGTCGCCTAGTCGTCCAGGCGAGTTCCCAGGCTGGGCGTTGGCCTCGCCACGACCGAGCCGGCTATGGCGTCCGCCTTGCGCTGGAATTCGTCTCCTAGGCGGGATTTGGCGAGGTTCCAGGTCCGAGCGGCGTAAGGCGGACGCCGCACGAGCGTGGAAGCCGGGGACAAGGCGTGGGAGCGGGAAGATTGGGTCCGCGCGGGAAAAGTGGCGTGGGCATGGCTGCGAGCGCGGGAGTTTCACGGGAGCGGAACTGCGGAAGATTGGGCCCGTGCAGGAAAATGGCGCTGCGCGCGAAGAGGCTGCGCGCCTGCAGGAAATCGCGAGCCTGCAGGGTCCTGCAAGGCCATCGGCCATCTCTCACATGCGCCAATTGAAGGGAAGGGGAAACGGAAGAGGGCAGCGCACATCTGGTTCTTGGTGGCGCGCCCCTTCTGCTCCATCGATTGGCGCCTCCTTCCATCGAATCGAACCTCGCTCCCTTCCTCTTCTCCACTGATTTGTGCCTCTGATTGGTACCTCCTCTGGTCCTCCCTCTTCTCTGCTGATTGATTCACGGCCCTTTCCCCTCCTCTGTTGGTTCCCGTCTACCTCAGCCAGGCGTTGCAAGGTCACAGGACAGGTGCATATGCAACACTTTCTCTTTTTTTCTCCTCTTCCTTTGTTTCTTTACCTGCCTCGCCTCTGCTTCCTTCCTCTTCCTCTGCTTCCCTCCTCTTCCTCTGTTTCTTTACCTGCCTCTCCTCTGCTTGTGCTTTGTTTTATAGATACTGAGTGGAAGTGCTCAGGTTTTTGAGTGATATTATGTCATTAGAGACTAATTTGTTGTTATTGAATGATGGGAGATTTCAGATTTGCTATTTTATGCCATGCACTAGCACTCTGGTAGCACTACTTATTATGGTATTACATGCTAATAGCTAGCAATATTAAGATATGATCTTCTTAATTTTAGTGGCATTATATATATTAAGATGATAGTATGGCGTCGCCTCGCCGCGCGCCTTAGACGCCTAGTTGACTCAAATGGGCGGGGCGCCGCGGCTCGACTTACCGCCTTAATAACCATGGATGTGCTGTTTACCTCCTTTATCTAAATAACATTATTGTAATGAGTTGTCGGTGCATTGTGGAATCCTAAGTCGAGATACCAATGTGAGGAGAGGTAGAGGAAGACTGAAGCTGACATGGGAGGAGGCAATAAAAAAAGATTTAAAGGGTTGAGATATACCTAGAGATCTTTGTTTAGATAGGAGTGTTTGGAAAACAGCTATCGACGTGTCTGAACCGTGACTAGGGGCTCACGTTGGGTTTCAACTCTAGCCTACTCCAACTTGCTTAGGACTAAAAGGCTTTGTTGTTGTTGTTGTTGTATTGTAATGAGCTGTCAATGTTACAAGACTACAGAGCAAATGCATTGCATTCTATTTTAGTTAAAAGGTTTATTCTTTGAAAAAGGAAATGATGTGCTAATTAGCTTAGTTCTGGGGACTTCAGGAGTTCCAGGCCGGCCTAACTTATTGGAACGACTTGTTGTTCCATTACATTCAAAGTTCACTTGTTATTTTGTTCAGCTCCATAATGCTGTGGCATCGTGTTGGGAAAACATTGATTTGGAGTAGATTAGTACATGAATAGAATAATTGATCTTCATAGTTCAGTTTTGTGCATGACAGATGGAAAATACAAAGTCTTAGAGGAACTAATTCCTGGCATGTGGTGCTCACTGCGCAGGGCATCAGGATCTAGAAGGAAGCACAGCGTCGTTTTTTGTCTTTTATCAGTTCTCAGTTCAAGATGGCTGCTGGCCTAAAACCAGGGGTGCCTGTTATTCTGCGGGAGCTGGAGCCATCCTCGGAGATGTTCAAGCAAGGAGCGTCCCTTCGAGTCACAGGAAGGTATGTGAAGCATCCTTTGATCTCTACCTGTGAACAACCTATGTTACAGCCATGTTTTTTTTTAAAAGAGTTTTACTCTGCTTTTAAGAAAGCAAATATTCAGGGGTACAGATCTGGGGATACCAGCTCACAAGCAAGTCTAACAGCCTCTAACAACAGCAACGACAAACTAGATTTCTATTACATCAGACAACATGGTGTCACTTGCTCGGTAGTTCTGTAGCCATGCAGTAATTCTCTTCTCCATGTCTTGCACTTTAGCTTTGTCCTTCTCTTGTAGCAGCACGCTCCACTTTGCACAAAAGAGATAGCAATATATGTGACATCAATAGGTCTGTTCGGGAACTGCTTCTAGAGGTTCAGATTGCCCAAGTTAGCCCTGCAAACATAAATATACCCAGCTGTTTAGAGGCACCAAGTTTTGTTCCCACCCAGTTCTCAACAAAATCAGGCTATCAGCCAAAGATGGGAACCCCACCCATCCAAAGGCATCTCTGAAATGCACCATGCAAGAGGAGCAACTGGGCAATGATAGAAAATATGTTCAATGGTTTCTGATTTTTTGACATACTTAGAGTATAATTACCATTTCCTTTCCACCCTCTTTTTAAGAACCTGGGCAGCATGTAATTTACCATTGAAGAGATGCCAAGGGAAAAAAATTGATATTGAGAGGGATTCTGCACTTCCAGATAAGCTTTGCTATCCTACTCTTGACCCCTCCATTTGGCATGGAATAGTACAGTGATTTTATTGTGAACTTTCTGTTTTTATTTAAAGCCCAAAACACCTCATCTTCTCCACATTCATCCAGATTCGCATTTTGGAGTTCTTCCTGTTGCTGCTCCCATTCCTGGAGTGACTGCTGGTGTAGCGATCTTCTCAGGCTTATACACCTTTCTCCCTTGTTACAGTATCAGCCACAGTGTTAACTATTATCACAGATGTTGTACAGTTTTTTTTTTTTTGGCTGAAAGATGTTGTACAGCTTTGAATATTTGATAACCCTGTGCCACGCATCCTCCCAGTGCGCAGTTTTCTTACCATATATATTGCCCCCCCCCACACACACACACAAATTTTAAACAGATGTTTGATTTTTGTAACCCCTGCCAAAATTGTGAGGCCCTCTTGTTTTAGAGTTGGAAAAATTCTCATCTGGCATGTATTTTGCCTAAGATTTTATGCCAGGTTTCAGTGCTCCCCTGAACTAATTTCCATATCCACTTGGTCAAAAGACATTCGTTCATGGTTACCTATAAACTCGTTGAGGATGTCCATTAATCTCTGCTCACCTTGACCATGGCTCCTTTCCTGATTGTTCCTAATCAGGTTAAAGTCTCCTCCTAAAACCACCGGTAAAGAGTCTCTCACAAATCTCATTCAGCTCTTGAATAAATTCTTCAGAGGAATCATGCTGTGCTGGCCCATAAACTGAGATTAGGTTCCATCTATGGTTGGCAATCCTATTCCTTATTGTGGTGAGAATGCAGAAGGTGAACCTCTCATTTTGATCCGCACAATCAAGCCTCCAGAATGTCCTCTGGCAGGTGTCCAACACCAAGAAAAATTATCCTGTCCCCCTAGGTCTCTCAATTCATTATCCGTGAAATTTTGCTTCATTCTTTCCAGTAAAGCCACAATGTCTAGTTTTTCTTGTATAACATGCTCCTTTACTTGACGTCTTCTGGCAGCCTTGCCCAACCCCCTAGCATTCCAGAACATGATCCTCATTTCCCTTTCTTCCTCCCCCTTTCTCTTCTCTTTTTCAGGCTCATTAACTTTCCTCTGCTCTTTGTTGTCCTCTGTAAGTGTTTCCATTTTCCTTGCACTATTGGATATGACCTCCATGGGCAACTCTTGGGTTTCCTGCTCACGTTGAGGCGCTGTTTTCCCTTTTTGTTTCTCTAAGTATAACTTGTAATTGACCTCAGCTATTTTTGCTCTGGCTATCTCCTCTGCCCTGAACACCTCAAGCTGACGTATCTACATTTTCTACCTCTTCCTAAATCAGCCATGTTTAGCCTCTTGTTTTTTCTTCAGTCTTCAGTCATTCGACGTGGACTCTGCAACTGCTGTCATTCAAGACGGCAGCGTGAGGTTGGAGGTTGACACCCAACATCTGAGGGACATCAGTTTCCGCATGAATTCAGCGTACCAGTTCATTGGTGAACTTCAGATCCGTGAAGACAATGATGTTCGTGATACTCCTTCCTCAAGGTTTTTTTTTTCAGCCTGTTTGATACTAACAAGAAATAACAACGCTACACCAATTGTTGTTGTTGGTTTGCAGGCGATTCTACTAGCGCGCATTGGAAGGAACGTCGATGGCCTCGACCTGAACCTTTACCAGCAGGCTCTACTCATCCGACGGCAGCACGAAGCAAAGCTGCTGAGCTCCAGGACCAGGAGAGCATGAACTGCTGCGCATGATCTTCCTAGTTATGTTCCTTTGTTTGGCCGCGATGCATTTGCATATGTACATGAGAGGAGAACTGGACCGCCTAGAGGCTGTGGTGATAAGAATTGGTCGACTCTGCATATGATTTGTGGGACCTCATTCACATATCTTGTTTCTGGCTGTTCTCTCATCTGGTTTTTTTTTTTCTCTTGCTCCTATATGAAGGGCTGCCATGGCATGTGTGGATATGTGATTGCGACTATCGTGTTTGTAGTGTAGACATTCTCTCTCAGTTGTTCTGCAGGAGGTGGGTGAACTTGCAGCAGAATGACAGGGTTTTGTTTATGAATCTGAAAAGTTGGCCTTTTGGATCATGTTTACAAAGACGGTTTGTTGATGGATGCACTTGTGTCGAGCTGGATCATGTTTTTATAAAGGCTTATGATGTTGAGCTGGATCATGTTTTTACAAAGGCTTATGAAGGTTAAAAAAATGGAAGAGAACAGTGTGGAGAAGCAGAGAAGAAAACAGTAATACATCGGCGAATTTACATTTTCAAATTCCTCTATTAAAAGATGAACATAATCAACTAAAAATGAAACAAATCAAAAAAGGGGGGAAAAAAAGAAGGGCTCTAATTGCTATACATCATGTTACTCTCTAGTCTAGTATAAACAACTCATCCACGCCCCTTGCACATCCCGCAACCAAGCAAGCAAATCTGTGTCCAGCTCTGCCGTCCTCTTCCTGACCACCCATCTCCTAATTGATTGACAGACCAAAATTTGACCGTCCGTTCCATCCCTCCCATGGCTGAGGCATGGCTCTGGGTTCATCTCACAGCAGTCGAAGCAGAACGAGATGGCGTGCAGACCATTGACCCGCGGATCACTGGCAGCTCGCCAGTCGCGACCGCCGGACGAAGACGCCCATGAACTGGCAAGCCCCTTCCAAAAGCTTCCCTGCATTGCCGACGAAAACATGGTTAGAAACAGAAACAGAAATGATGACGACACCAAAGAAAGGCAAATGGTATTGCAATGCCGCTAAAGTCGCTGCGAGCTCGTGGGCTGGCCCAAGTTTGCAGTTGCAGTCTGAAGCTGAAGTGCTGGACCCAGGCTGCCAGAGAAGCGCGTACTGTACGGGGCAGTCACGACTCACGAGGAGCATGGGCATTTGCCCGTCCCGCCGCGTCCTCCCAGCTCACTCGCCGCTGCGGCGCACAAGCCAACACAGCTCACCCCTGGCTGTAGCAACAAGCCGCCGCCCCGGACGGCTCCACCCCACGCGGTTTCGATTTCCATCGCCCCAAGAAAATTAATTACTCCTCCACAGGCACCCGCGCCTGCATTTACTATTCACCGTGCCACTCGCCCACCACTCCAGTACTCCACTCCCCAGTCCCCACCAAACGGAATGACGTGCCTGCATTACACGTGGGCCCGCTCCTCGTCCTGCCCGTCTCACGTGAGTGCTCAACGTGGCACAGCTAGCCCACATTAACGGTGGGGGTTAATCCATCCACCCTAGTTAACTGCGCAGCCGCTTAGTCGGTGGACAGTCCTTGCTAATGATCTTCATTTTTAATTTAATTTTTTTTTGAACGCATATTTTATTTTAATTTTAACACCGCCCAAATGTTGCTGGGGACTTCGATTCCCGGCAATGGCGTGCGGCGTCAAATTAGGGAGAAATGCAAATACATAAACAAAGCGATGGAATGCAATAATATGTCAGGAGTACTGACCTCGTCGGAGCTTGGGCTTGGCGGTGGCGCCAATCACGGCGGGCGCCTTCCTGGCGGGAGCCGCGGCGGGGCGCTTCTGCCCGTCCTCGGCCGGCGGGAACAGCACCGCGTCGATGCCCTGCACGGAGATCCTGCCATCGGTGTAGATATCCGGATCAAAGAGGTAGGCGCTCCCCTCGCCAGCGCCGAACTTGACGGAGCCGTCGGCCTCCCTCGCCACCACCTTGTGCGGCAGCCGCAGCGTGTCGTAGCGCACCTTGCCGAAGCGGCGTACGGCGTTGTACATGGACTCCTCGGTCTGGTACTCCGGGATCACGTGGTAGTAGAGGATGTCCTCCGGCGACCCCGGCTCGCTGAGCTGGTCCGTGGTGAGGCGCGCCATGGCCTCGTCGTTGGGGGCGAGCACGGTGAGGACGTAGCCCTCGGAGACGAGGCGACCCATCTCGGTGGCGAGCGAGGTGAGGTTCACGAGGATGTCGGCCAGCTCGTTGTACCCGCCGTAGAGGAGCAGGGTCTGGATGAAGTCCTTCACCTGCCCATGCCCGTCGAAGCGGTGAGTTCCGGAGCCTGGACCCGGCGCCGGCGCCGGCGCGATGGCCGGGCCCGGCGCCATCGCGTCCCAGACGGGGAGCGCCGGCGGGGCGGGTCCGGGGCTGGGTTTCCTCAGGAGGCGGTGCGTGCGCGGGTCCACCTCGGGGGCGCCCGTCGGGAGCGCGGCGGAGATGGACGCCAGGCTGCGGCGGCGGTTGAAGGCGTCCTGCACGGAGCGCGGGACCAGGAGGCGGTCCACGCCGTGGATGACGCCGTCCGCACGCACCACCGCGTCGGGGCGCGTCACGGCGCGCGAAACGGCGGCGAGCTCCAGCGGCTCGCCAGCGAGCGTGGGGTGGTGGCGGGGGTGGGAGCGTGGGGAGAGGAGGAGGGAGGCGGCGTGGAGGCGGGCCGGGAGGACGTGGAAGAGGAGCAGGGACTGGAGGGACCGCAGGTTGCGGGGCTCCAGCAGGAAGCGCCGGAACTCCGGGTCCAGGTCCTGCTCCAGGGCCTCGTTCCGGGGCGCCAGGATGGTGACGTTGGTGCCACGCCCCACCGCGGCCTCCAGCGGCTGCAGCAGCAGCGCCTTCTCTACTAGCTCCGACAGCTCCGTGTAGCGCGAGTCCAGCAGCGCCACCAGGACCGAGTTGGAGCTCACGCCCGAGCCGCCGGCGGTGGCGGATGGGGACGACAATGCGGGCGGGCTCTGCTGCTTCGGCGCCAATGCCGCCGCGGTGGTGGCAGCGGCTGCGAGGGAGAGGAGGAGCGGGAGCAGTGGGAAGGCGCCGCGGCCCATTGCAGCGGCGGGGATGCTGTGGATTCGGGTGCGGGCTGCTGTGCGCGTCGGCGGTGGAGGGAGAAGGGGGAATAGGAGTGTTGGTGAAGAGTGAGGAGTGAAGGCGACTGACCGAGGAGAAGTGAGGAGGAGGTGGGGTATGTACGGTAGGAAAGGGGACGCGTGGGGGTACAGGCTGGCAGGTGGGGCCCGTTAGCGAGGCTGCGTCGGTGTGCGGGGCGGGGCGCAGACAACAGGTCAACAGCACACCACACCCTGTGTCTGTGTGTATACACAGCTGCACTGCACTGCACGCCTCGCGAGGGCAGTACTACTCCTACACGTTTTCCTTTTCTTCGTTTTTTTAATACAATATAAATTATAATATATTTTTCCCTGCGTGTGTAGCGTCGCACAGGGCACAGGGCTGTGCCGCTTGCGTTGCGTCGCGCCTTCCAGCGTCCGCGTGGGCGCCGCCAAGCAAAGCCAGCAGCCAGAATGCCAGATCTGCGAGGCGTGGAGGATACGTTACAATCACAAGGGAAAAAAAGGGGTTGTGGAGCCGGCCAAAGCTTACTCCGAGTTGGCGAGTTGTGAACGCTGCTCCCTCCCTTTCTTCTGAAATGAAAATTTCATATATTCTAGTTGACAAAGAAAGATGCATGCTTTGATTCATAATTTAAAATAAGTATGTCGCTAAACTATGCTAACCTATATGAATACATACTAAAATATACCTGACGCGTTGAATTCAATAGCGAAGTAATAAATGCGGATGAGGGTTGGGGTTTTCCATAGAAAAAAAGTTTATTTTTGGCCGTCCAACTTTTGGCGAAGTCCGGAAACGATCATCGAACTCGAAAATCAGGAATGTTTCACCATTTATTTTCTGAAACCGGACACAAAAGGCCATGAACTGCAGTCCACCTACACATTCCTGGTTTTGACATAACTCCTCCCCTTCTCTCATTCTTCTCCTCCAAACCAGCCCTCTCCTCTTCTCACGTTACTCTCTCCTCCCCTTGCTCTCCCATGGCTGCCTGTCGGATACCACAAGAAGGGGTATCTTAAGCAAGATTCAAGAATATTGCTTAAGCCTTGCTAAAACCAAAGCCAAAAGACTACTGCAAGGTCTCGGCAGAATTCTCCGATTCACCCGAGGCCTTGCGCCGAGGCCTCATGCGAAACAGGCCTAAAACGTCCCCGCCGAGGCCCTCTCGCCGAGACCCTCTCGCCAAGGCTCGCCCAAAGGCCCTCGGACGGATCTCCAATTCTCCGATTCGCTCGAGGTCGAGCTCGGCGAACGATCAGTAACCTCCGTCCCGACCAACTCCTCTGGCAAAACGTCACGTCCGGATTAAATGCACCCAACCACTCCCATAAACGTCTACCAGACGCAGTATACATAAAGGCGGGGCGGATAACCGACAGATGGGGACGGCACACAGCAGGGGTTACTCGCCACTATACTCACCATCATGTTCCTCCCCGACACTTATATCGCCTGTGCTACCTAACCCCTGCGCCAAGGACAGCGGCATGGAAGGTCGAGTCCATGTCCTCAGGGCCTCGGAAGCGGCAGGAGAGCCCAACAACTTTCGGTCTCTCTCGTCAAGAGACCCCGGCAAGGCCTCGGATGCGCCATTCCTTCTCCGCTTGGCCGAGGCCGCTCTCGTCCCGCATTCTCGCCGCCTCCGCCTCAATTGCCCCTCTCAAGGCCGTCCCATCCGTATAAGTACCCTAGTTACGCCTTTACGTCGGCCATGATTGGCGGTGGTATGGCAAAAGGGCGATGGGGCGGCGGTCAAATCACCTTTTACCATCCCCATCGACGCAGAGACTACAGCTCCTGCGGGACGCCCATTCCGCACTTTTTCACCGGAATCGGTACGACACAGACCACCGAGACCCCAGCGTCAGTACACGGTCACCTCCGAGGCCTCGGCAAAGAAGGCCTCGGCACGATCAACTCCAAAGACCCGCTTAGGCCTCGACACTCTACCGGGACAAGAGTCCACCAGTACCGACATGTCACCTACAAAGGAGGCCATACCGACTAGACGTCAACAAGGACTCTTACGACTTCAACACCTCGGGCATGGCTGCGTGGCCTTGCCGGTGATCAAGTACCAATTGCCATTCCCGACAATCGTGTTGCTACAGAATAGGCCACAATCTCGATCTTCCTTTCTCGCTAAGGCTCCATGTAGTAGCTCTCTCATGTACTCCTGCTCCCTCTTTGTGGCTATAAAAGGAAGCGCACCAGGCCATTTCTAGGGATCGAAACCACGCCACCCTCACGCAAAAAAAACACACTCACTCAATTCACGCTACTCCCCCACGCCGCCTCGAGAGCAACGACTCAAGCAGCCCGCACCATTCCACGCCGAGACCTGGGACTAGCTCCCTCTCTCACCCAGCTTGTAACCCCCTACTACAAGCACTTCGGTGCAGAGAATATAAGATCGATCTCCTAGACTAGACATAGGGCGCCAATTGCCTGAACCAGTATAAACCTTGTGTCTCTTTGCATCACCATTCGAGATTAGGGGCATGCAGTTCACATTTACTGGTTGGTTGAGGACCCCCCGGTCCGAAACGCCAACACTACCACTCCCTAAATCCCCTCTACAGCACCAAATCCTTGGGGGAAACTTGCAAATCGGATCGAGGACAACAATAGGAGCAAGAAGAGGTGCATCTTGCATGTGGATCGGTCCTTCCCCATCCCTTCCCGTCGCCCTAGGGTTTGTGGCTGACCAAGGTGAGTTGGATTTACCCCTTCTCTGCACAAGTTTGGTGTTTAGGGTGGATTTTGGCCATGGGAATAGGTGGACTCGTGGGGGAGAAAAGTTGCTTGAATGTTGTTCCTCGGATTTCAGATGAACAGTTTCTGCAGATTTTCTTGGGGAAACGATTAGGGCTACTTAGAGACCGAAATAAGTGTTTTGGTGAACTACAAAGTTGTAAAGGACCTTCGGATCTATTAGCTCGTAAAATTTCATGATTTTATCTCAAGCAGTTTCAGAGATATGTATTTTCGAAATTAGGTGTCATGCTGTGACGAAATTCTGGACAGAACTGGATGTAGGGGCCTTTCGAAACCCTTAAATGTCTTATTAGACTTTCCAAATATGAGAAGCTTGTAGTACTTTCCATTAGCTTTCCAGATTGGTAAAGATTTTGCCTTTTGTATTTCGCTGCCATCATATCCTTTATGGATTAAAACGTATAAAGAGGTGAAGCAGCACTGCTGCATTTGATATGTCGCTTTGTTTGTTGTTTTGCTTGTATGTCGGGTTGGGGAGTAGGAGTGCTTAATCCATTGTTTAATGCAGCCACAAACTTGTTTGCCATACAGGCAAGTGATAAAGTGTCCTGGGGATGGATCCATTTGAGTATCTTTCAGTCCGGTTCCATTTCAATGGAGAATTCATAAGAACAGGAAAACAAATGGAGAATTCATAAGAACAGGAAGACAAGTGCAGTACATCGGTGCTCGGATGGAGGTTTCCTTCATAGATAGGGATAAAGTGTCCCTGCCTGAGATTATTGGCCACCTAAAGGACCACTGCAATGTAAGTGAAAGGGCTCTTTTGCATTTGCTTCTTCCTAGGAAAGAGCTCGACAATGGTCTGAGGCTGCTTCTAGATGACAAAGGCTGCTTAGAGGTAGCAGGTACCATTGGGGATGGAGAGGTAGCTAAAATCTATGTTGAAGAACCTATTGCTTTGGAAGAAAGTGAATGTGACGAAGGCAGTGAATATGAATAGGAGGAAGAAACAAGTGATGAAGATGACTCACTGAATGAGCAGGAAGTGCAGGAGGAATTGGATGATGAAGGACCTGAGATAGAAGAGGATACTCAGCCTGTGCATGCAGCCAATGAATTTTTAGGTGCAACCATTGTTCCAAGTGGCAATAGAGCTGGGATCCAACAACCAATACAGCTTGATGTGGGATGGAAAAATTCAAGGAAAGACAAAGGCAAGCAAGTAGTTGTCCATGATCCAAAGTCTGGGGATAGCAGTGACAATGACTACTTACCTGGTGATGAGTGTTCTTCTGAGGATGATGATGAAGTTGTAGAAATTCTGACCAAGTTCAGGGTGTTTAAAAGGAGGTTAAAGGCTAGACAGGTAGCCAACTTAGATGAAGTCATATTGGACAGTCCCAAAGAGGTGCCAAATTTGTATGAGATAGAGGATGAAGGAAATTTGACCCCATATGATGGAAGCAGTGATGATGAGGATTCAGTAGAAGAGATGAGTGATGGGGATATTCAGAAGTGTACTACTAAGTGTCCAAGATTTAATAAGAAGGAACCAATTCCTAAGTTTGAGATTGGAATGAAGTTTAGTGGAAAGAAACAATTCAAGAAGGCATGTATCAAACATGGTCTAGTTGAGAGGAAGCTTATCAAATTCTACAAGAATGAGGCATCAAGAATGATTGCAGTATGTGACTGGTCCACATGTAAATGGAGGTGCATGGCTTCTGTCAATTCTAGGAGTAGTAGTTGGCAGATTGCTAGCTACAATGCTGAGCATACATGTCCACCCAGAAGGGACAATAGGTTGGTCACTGCTGGTAGAATTGCTGCCAAGTATGAGAAGGTGATCATTGCCAACCCTGCTTAGGGTCTTGACTCAATGAAAACAACTATGCAAGAGGACATGTTTGCTGATGTGAGTTTTAGCAAGCTTAAGAGGGCCAAGTCCATGGTAATGCAGAAGGCATTAGATGCTACTAAGGGTCAGTATCTACTCTTGTACAATTACCAGCTAGAGTTATTGAGAAGTAATCCTGGAAGCACAGTTATTGTGAGAAGACAAGGTGATACAGACATTTTTCAGACGATGTACATATGCCTTGATGCTTTGAAGAAAGGGTTTAAGGCAGGATGTAGAAAAGTTGTTGGGCTAGATGGGTGCTTCTTCAAGGAAGCTACAAATGGTGAGCTGCTATGTGCAATTGGCAGAGATGCAAACAGCCAAATGTATCATATTGCATGGGCTGTA